AAGTACGTCATTGTCATGTGCATTTTAAATGCGTGTGTTCATTTAGTCATTTCACCAGCCCATTTAGTCAATCATCACATCGTCCTGCACACACTCAGCACGTGATGTTGCCATTCATTTCTCTCGCATTGATTCTGACTCAACTTCATGTGTGAGGCGTACAACTGGGCTCCTTGGAGTTCTTTAGGCTGTGATCTTACGCAAGTAGATGGCTAGACCTTATTCCCGAGAGAACTCTGGATGGGTTTGAACTGCCAACCTTTTAGTTACTTAGTCCAGTGATAAACTGTGTGTGCCACTGAATGATGCCACTCTTGTATCTACACACAAGTAGGCAGAAGATAGAAATACAATGATAGGGATAAGCCTGGAAATTAGGAGAGAGTGAATTAATTTCACGGTGATGTATCAGGGAAGGCTTCCTGGAGGAGATGCTTGAATTGAGCCTGATCAGGTGAAAACAAGGGGAGAGACCACTGCAGAGTCACATACAAAGAGAAAAAGAGTTGTTGTTGTTATGTGTTTTTCAGTCCCCGGTGACTGATGGCGACCTGGGTCTGTACCACAGTTCTGAACCCTGCCCTGTCCTGTTCCAGTCTCACGAATTCCAACACACCAATCCCCATTGCCTCAATCACTGCATCAATCTGTCTCATCCGGGGTTTTCCTCTCCTGCGCTGTCTGTCCACCCTTCCGAACGTGATGTTCTTCTCCAAGGACTGGTCCCTCCTGACCACGTGCCCAACGTATGTGAGACGGAGCATTCAGAATCCTGGCCTCCAAGGAGAAACTTGGTTTCACCCTTTCCAAGTAGACCTGTTTGTTTTCTTGGCGATCCATGGTATGTTCAAGGCAAAGAGTAGTATGGGCTTAAAACTACAAGCACTTACCATGGCGCTTTGAGGCCTTTACACCTGGCTGCACCTCCCCACAGGTAACACCCACACAACAGAGCGAAGGCAAGGAGGTTAGGGAACCAGCAGTTTATTTGGTACAGACCAATACTGGGAACCCCTGCTCCCACGAGGTACACCTCAAGGGGCAGACCCCCACACGAGCCCGTCCTCCTCACAGATGGCCGTGCTGGCTGGTGTTGCACCGATGACACCTGACGAGGCCTGGACGGGCAGTCTCTCCATGGAGCTGTGGAGAAGGGACATCTTCGAGGGCAGCTGCGTCTCAGGAGGCTGGAGGCACAGACAGGTCAGAGCTGTGAAAGGGGCACCGCGGGGAAGCGCGCTGAGGGGGAGAGGGAACAGCGCTGGGCATCTTCTCCACTCCCAGACAGAGGACTACCCAGGAGCCCGCAGGAACTCAGTGTGGCCTTCTTACCTTGAGATCTGGGTTCGATTCCTGGTCAGTCCACCTCATGCCCACTAGGGAAGACTACCCAGTAAGTGAGGTTTATAGTAAGCGGTACTAATTTACAGTAAGCAGTTTCAGATGGGTTTCATGATGTGGTTAAAAACACACACACACACACACACACACACACACACACACACACACACACGAAACCGTTTGCTACAGATGGTAGAAACTGTGCTGCAATCCCAAAGACACATAGTTCGAATTCACCAGTTCTGTGGGAGAAAGGTGGGCAATTTCCTCCTCTGAAAAACCCACTGGAGGGTCAGTTATGGGTCAGTTCCGACTCAACGGTACACAACAACAACAACAACAGTAAGCACAAATAAGCCGGCATTGACTTTGCCGACTGGGCCATCTGGTGCTCTCACTACCCATCTGCCAGGGATTTGTGTCTATGAAATTGAGCAGAGTCACTGAGTGACACAAATGGTTAAATGCTCAACTACCAGCCTATGGGTTGGTGGTTCGAGCCCACCCAGAGGCTCTTCAGAAGGCAGGCTTAGTGATCTCCTTCTGAAAGGTTGCAGCCTGGGCACCTCTGTGGGGCAGCCCCGGGCCGCACACTCTGGGCTTCCAGGAGTCGGAGGCTAATCAAAGGCAACATAGTGGCAGCCGGACCATGACACGGAGCCTCCAGACTCAGGAAGACGAGGAAGAAAGGCCTGGCAAGCTAATTCTGAAACCCAGGACAGTAAAACGCTGTGGATCACAGTCGTCCGATGTGTAACTGATTATGGGAGTGGTGCAGGGCTGAACAGCATCAGTTCTGCTGTGTGGGGGCTAGCCAAGAGTTGGGGGGCTACTTGTTGGTAACCAGCTCTAGCGGCCTGGTGGTAAGGAGCTGCACTGCCAACCTGAAGGCACGTGGTTCGAGTCCCCCAGCTGCTCTGCAGGAGAAGGAGGAGCTGTCTCCTCCCGTACAATTAACTGCCTCTGGAAATCTGTCACTTCCAACTCAATGGTGCATCATAACAACATCATCAGTACACAGACCCTACTAAGAGGAACTAGGGGGGTAGGTAGTAGAAGGAAAGTTGGGGCAGATTTCTCAAAGGATTAAAAATTCCCCAAGTTATTGTATTCCACTGTGTGCCAGGCTCTGTGCTGGGAATCTCCTATATTTGCATTTAAACGCAAAATGTTACTTTATATGAAAAGAAAACAAACCCATAACACCAAGAACAACAAAGAGAAAACCACTGCTGTTGGGCCACGTCCAAGCCAGGCAATCCCGCATGCTGCATGGTAGACTGACGCCGTAACTCTGTATCAGGGAAGGCTTTCTGGAGGAGGTGACGCTTGAACCCAGCCTGGCCAGGTGAAGACTAAGGGAAAGGCTATTGTGTATCGTCATATATTCAACTCGACTCTTTGCAGTCAAACCAGAACTGACTCTTAGCTGACTCTCCAGCAGATTTTTAGAGGCTATAAGTTACACGGGACGGGGTGGGGGACGGGGAAAGGGAGTCTGCTTATCTCTCCCTCACAGAGCGGCTGGTGGATTTGAACCACCTGAGAGATAATGCCTTTGGCTTGGCAGCACAACCCCCTATGGGCTGTGCCACGAGAGCTTCCTGCACTCATAGATAATATCGATCCCAGTATGAACCTGAAGCAACAAGCCATTTGGTGGGCTTCCCACCCTCCAGAAACTTGTAACCTTTATAGAAAGTGCCGGGTCTTTCTATTTCCCAGCACTGCCAGGCGGCTGAGAACCGTCCACCTTTTCCTTAGCCATTGAGCGCACCCTCCTGTACCATCCGGGGGCCTCTGGGTAGCTGATCAGATGAGCCTCGTGTTCCAGGTGAGGACACAGGTACTGAAGATGCGCCATCACTGTCGGCTCAAGGCCTCATGGCTATTTCCCTTCACGTAGAGGAGGGGCCGCTCAGCTCTGAAGCCCATACTCCTGGGTGTGTGGGGAACGGAGCTGCGAGCCCACACAGTGCATGCACGGGGAATGGAGACGCAGGCCCACACCGAGGGTGCACAGAGGGCAGGGCTGCAGGCGCACACCTCCGTACACAGGGCAGTGGAGCTGCAAGCTCACACCGTGGGTGCGCAAC